TGTTTGGCAAAGGCTATTCTAGTTGATAATCTCTTGATGCTCTGCTCAGACACTTGCTGCCAGGAGCTCACTCTCTCCTTCCTCAGCTTCCACTGGGTCCTGGCAGGCAAACAGCCTGATGATTGGGGCTGCACAGGGGACAGAGAGGGCTGCAAGGTTGGGAATGGTACACATCTCTCCCCTGTCCTGACGCCTCCTCCTCTTCAATCCACAATTGCTCTTGTGTCTCTTTTGCTTCTCTAGAACGAATTCCAAAATCTAAATGCTTTGTTTGGCTGTGCTATTATTTAGCCTCTGTTGGTTTGTTATTTAGATATACACATTCCTTCTAAAACAGAGGAACAGGAAAAGCGCAGCCTGCTTACCTGGTGCATCTAACAAAACCTGCCCAATTCGTTCAGAGTCATTTGGCACCAGAAAGCCTCCTGTCTGCTTCGGTTTTTCATTCTCTCTAGGATGCTAATTGTTTTTCTTTTGATAATCTTGTAGTTTTGGCCTGAAGTCTAAAATCTGGCTTGCTGGGCTATGTGTCAGATTTGTAAATTAGATGACATCTGTTTTGAATTTTATCATCTTTAATTTTCTTTCCACTTCTCCACACTCATTCATTTCCCCTTTAATTGTAAGGATCAGACTTTGCTGTGTGCTTTAGACAAAAGTGTAGACCTTTCTGCTTTGGGGGTCAGAGATTTAAACTGACTGACGCTAAATGGTCACAATGAAGGCTATTCAGGGAAAAGATGTTGGAGAGGAGCCTTAGCAACCATCCCAGAAAGGAAGAGCTGTTTACACAAAAGGCTGGCCGTCCACGCCAGTGGGGTTCTTTTTTAAAATTTTTTGAGGTTCCCACCGAATAATTACAATTGACTAGAAGAAGATTGACAGTGAAGGTTGGACGGAAAGGAGTAGTTTGAATTGAGAGAGGTTGAGGTGAGTGGTGACCTTTTCAGCTTTTCACACTTAATTGTGCTTTTTTTTGTTCTCCCTTCCTCAGGAAAGAAGTAAAGGGAGGTGAGGCTAAACTTGTTCTATAGTCAGACTCACTTCTTGATTGCAAGACTCTATTTTTCTCTCCTCTCTACGTATCTCCTAAAATCTTTTCATGGGGAAATTGTTTATTACTCATTGGTTTGGGCCTACTTATTAAAAATCCAATTTCCAAATTGCTTTGTAACAATGTAACACACTTGTACACTATTTTTTTTCCCCTTTAGGTAAATCTTTTTTACACACATAATTTCAGAAATGTCAACTGGTCTCAAAACCTTGCATCTGTGGGGCAATTTATGAGCAGTGGACACTGGGCAGCTCATGGGCTCAGGCCTCTGCTTCTGACTCTTGTCCTCCAGGGCTGGGGGAAGACAGGAGCGGCCTGGCTGGGCACACGGCACAAACGGCCCCCCTGGACACCAGCTGCGGGCTCTACCCTAAATTTCTGAAACCACATCATAAATGTTGGCCAACAGTGACTTTGGGGTTGCATGTAAATGACAAATCCCTTCACGACACTGGCTTTGAGTTTCTTGGATGCTCCCAGGTTGAAGTGGTTTGGAATCAATGCTATTTTTTTTTTTTTTTTTTATTGAATGGTAACTATGTACATTAATGCCCTTCTGGGGTACAGTGTGGGGTTGTCACATGCAATCTGAAATACTTCCATCAAACTGGTCAACACAGCCTTCATGTCATTTTCTCAGTTATTGTTTTAAAACGTTCACATTCTACTCCTAGATTCACTTGTACCCCTGTAAGATAAACCTCAGAAGTGATTAAGATAAACCTCAGAAGTGATAATGCTATTTGTGAGTGGTATATGTAGACTACATTTCAGTGGTTCTCAACTGGGGAGAATTTTTGCCTCTCCAGGGACATTTTTGGTTGTCACAACTGAGAAGTGAGTAGAGGCCAGGGTTGCAGGTAAATATTCCATAATCTATGTGGACACTCCACAACCAAGAATTCTCTAGCTCAAATATTAATATCAATAGCACCAAGGTTGAAGAAACCTCATGTAGAAGCATCTAGGTATTGAGCCAGGTCACAACACATTTTTTTAATATGCTCAGTCAAACCTTTTGTGTTCAGAAAAAAGAAGATTTGCAATCAGCCTTCTGATGAATAGTTATTATCGACTTTGATGGTTGTATTGGTCGGGGGATAGTCTCTGCCCACAGAGGGTCTGAGAGATGCTCCTGGGGGCTCCCCTCCCGATACCTCCTTCCTTTGTCATCAGCACCAGCTTCCCTGTCCAGGCAGCCACTCAAGCCAAATGGCTCTGGGTTTCCACCCACTCCCTTCACCTTCTCCTTACCCCACCTCCCAGGGGGTGATCAACTTCTCGCAGTTCTGTGCCCTCTCACTAAAATGATCTGCCCTGACTTCTTAGGCTCCCATCACCGACTTTGTCTTGGCCTCTCTTGGGAACTGTTAAGGCTCCAATAATAGCATCTTCTCTCTCTTTTTCTGTTTCCAGCCTGCCCTGCTGCTCCAGCCAAATCCATTTGGTGCTCATTCACCTATTCCTTGGGTTAAAAAGTAATCTGAGCACTTACTCTCTGCTAATTACTGTGCTAGGACCTGTGGTCATTTCCTGGATTCAATCTTTCCAAGCCTCCACCTTACTTACTGAATAAGCCTCTTGCTTCTAACACGTCATGTAGGGCCTCTGACAATCTGCCTCTGACCTAACTTTTCAGCCCACCCTCCTGCCCTGCTCTGATGTTCTTGCCCCAGCCACATTGAACAAATTATTTTTCCTCAGTCTGGGTCACACAGTCTTAAGCTTTTGTATCTTTGCATGTGTTATGTTCTTTCTAACCTTTCTCGTTCATCCTGTGCAACTTAGCCAAGTCCTAGAGAAATGCCTGGCACATGAGAGACAATCAACGAATAGGGAGTGAACTTAAATTTTACCTTCTCTGTGAAACATTCTTCAGTTCCCTCGCTACTGGTTGGTGCAACTCTCTTGCTCCATAGCCCACCACCTGCACGACTGCCAGAACCCCATCACATACACTGACTGGGCACCCTCTAAAGGCAGGGATATTATCTCCTGTCACTCTGTGCCATGCTGAACATAACGTGGACACTGTGACTAGATGCTCGCTATTATATTAAGAAGGTTTCTCATGTTTGGGGAATCCTTGTTTCATACTGGGAATGGTATATATCACTTGTTATCCCAAAAGCCCACCAGATTTGACACGAGTCTCAGATGGGCCCTGTTCTCCAGAACTGCATACCTTCAAATGCACAGGATCTGAAATGCGAGGGTGGGGTTTGAGTCTATCCCTATCATTAATGACTGTGTAACATTGGGAAGATAGTTATTTAACAAATAGCTGAGCCTTTGTTTTTTCTGTGGAGTTAGAACAATAGTATCTGCCCTGCTTGTCTTATGGAGTGGTCGTGAGCATCAGATGAGATGATCATAAAGCTTTTCAAATTTCTCACCATTCAAAGTGTAGCAAAACAAAGTAACACTCCCCCAATCACAAAGTCTCCTCTAGTTTTTGCAAGGACAAACTTCTTGGAAAGGCTAGTATTGTGCACCGTGTCCACTCTCTCTCCCTTCCACACCTGGAATCCTGGTTTTCACACAGCCAAACCACTGGCCCACCATGACCATTAATAATTCCCTCATGGCCACCACCCATGGACATTTTCCCTCCCTGTCTCATTTGCTGTTCTCTCCCTCCAGTCTGCCTTGTCCTGGGACATTCTCTGCACAGAGGACAGAGTGATCTTCTTTAGCTATGGACCCTGAATACATCCTGCCATGTACAAAACCTCACGATGGCTAATTGCCTACAGGGCAAAATTCAAGCTCCTTAGCACAGTCTGTCGGGCCCACCGTCCCCTGGTAACTGCCTACCACCTCATCAGTATCTTCTGATTTTGTTTTCCTTATAATATGCACCCCAGGCAAACAAAATGACTTCTGTTTCTAGAAAGTGCTTTTGTACATGCTACCTAAAAGATAGTCTGGTGCAATTTGGTCATCTTTCAATATGTGGTTCAAAATATCACCTCTTCCAGGAAACCTTGCCTGATCTCACCTTCCCTTCTTCTCCCTTCTTTCATATAGAAGTACACAAGATACTCCACCTCATATTCTCCAAATGGTTTGAACTCATCTTGATTAGCATAACCTTCTTGCCATTCTAT